CTGGTGACACGGGTTGACTGCTGTTCCAGGCTAGGTGCAGGTGGAGGTCACGGGGCAGACCCAGCAGGTGCCATGGGTTGACTGCTGTGCCAGGCTAGGTGCAGGAGGAGGAGGTCACGGGACAGACCCTGCAGGTGCCATGGGTTGACTGCTGTGCCAGGCTAGGTGCAGGAGGAGGAAGTCACGGGACAGACCCAGCAGGTGCCAGGCTAGGTGCAGGAGGAGGAAGTCACGGGACAGACCCAGCCAGGTGCCGTGGGTTGACTGCTGTGCCAGGCTAGGTGCAGGAGGAGGAAGTCACGGGACAGACCCAGCAGGTGCCAGGCTAGGTGCAGGAGGAAGTCACGGGACAGACCCAGCAGGTGCCATGCGTTGACCGACAGACGAGTGGCCGATGCACCACCTGTGCCCCCTACTGTGCCAACTTGCTGTGCTTTAGACGCCCGGCGCTCCGCTCGTTGTTGTGAGCGTCGCTCCTCCGCCCTCCGTTGTTGCTGGAGGGCGACTGCCTCCAACTGCCCAGTAGCGTCCTCAAGGTGCACCTAGCCTGGCACCGCCCAGTAGCAGCAGCGTCCTTCACGAGCCTCCTCCTTCACAGAGGCCGACCTTGACACCGCTGGTAGCTGTCATCGGCAAGTCCACTCAGCTCCACGTCCTCCTCCTGTACCACGTCACTCCGTCTATTCTCCAGCCCGTGCGTACAGTAGTAGGCGTAATCAGGGGTCAGGATTAAACCCACGACCTCCTGTATACCAGGCGAGGTAGTTGACATCTCCTAGCCACTGTGATGATGATGATGATGATGAGAGAGACGCAGACTTCAAATATACAGCAGCAGTAAGCATCGTCAGAGGTCGGGATGGAACCCACGACCTCCTGTATACCAGGCGAAGTAGTCAACATCTCCTAGTCACTGTGATGATGATGAGAGAGACGCAGACTCCAAATACACAGCAGCAGAAAGCATCGTCAGAGGTCGGGATGGAACCCACGACCTCCAGTGTACCAGGCGAGGTAGTCAACATCTCATAGCCACCGTGATGATGATGAGAGAGAGACGCAGACTCCAAATACACAGCAGCAGTAAGCATCGTCAGAGGTCGGGATGGAACCCACGACCTCCAGTATACCAGGCGAGGTAGTCAACATCTCATAGCCACCGTGATGATGATGATGAGAGAGACGCAGACTCCAAATACACAGCAGCAGAAAGCATCGTCAGAGGTCGGGATGGAACCCACGACCTCCAGTGTACCAGGCGAGGTAGTCAACATCTCCTAGCCACCGTGATGATGATGATGCTGAGAGAGAGACGCAGACTCCAAATACGCAGCAGCAGCAGTAGCAGTAATGAATCACACGGGGACCCTCAGCCACGCTCACTGCGACATTTGATGAATCGCTTTTTTTAATTTCCGCGCCCGTCACGAGGAATTAAGACGACGACGTCGATGCACGCAACTCGGTCGCACGCAATCGAGTTGCACGCAACCCGCTCAGTCGAGTTGCACTCAACCCGCTCGCAACCCGCTCGCAACCCGCCCGCTCGCACGCGGACCGACGTGCAAGAGGTCGCCCGCAACTCGGGTTGCGCGAGTACGCAACTCGGGTTGCGCGAGCACGCAACTCGGGTTGCGCGAGCACGCAACTCGCGTTGCGCGAGCACGCAACTCGGGTTGCGCGAGCACGCAACTCGGGTTGCGCCGCAACGCGCTACGGATTTCGATTGCGTTGCCCGCGGGACGTCTTAGCGACCGGTCGCGAGCAACTCGCGCGAGCCGGTTGCGCGAGTTGCGCGAGTTGCGCGAGTTGCGCGAGTTGCGCGAGTTGCGCGAGTTGCGCGAGTTGCGCGAGTTGCGCGAGTTGCGCGAGTTGCGCGAGTTGCGCGAGTTGCGCGAGTTGCGTGGCGCACAGCGGCAACACGAGGCGCGTGTGGGTTGAGTGCAACCTCACGGAGGGCGCAACGGAGGGATGCAATAGCACTTACAGGTACACACACACATACACACATACATACACAGTTACACACACACATACATACACACACACATACACACATACACACACAGTTACTCACACACAGATACACACACACATACATACAGTTACACACACACATACACACACACATACACAGGTACACACACAGATACGCACACACATACATACACACATACATACACTCATACATACAGTTACAGTTACACACACATACACAGATACACACACATACATACACAGATACACATACACACATACACACAGTTACACACACACATACACACACATACATACACACATACATACAGTTACGCACACACATACACACACATATACACACACAGGTACACACACTACAACATACACACAGAGATACACACAGGTACACGCACACACAGGTACACACAGATACACATACACAGGTACACACACACAGATACACACACACACAGGTACACACAGATACACATACACACATACACACACAGATATACACACACACAGATACACATACACACAGGTACATACATACATACACACAGGTACACACACATACATACACACACAGATACACACACACAGATACACACACAGGTACTCACACACACAGATACACACACACAGATACACACACAGATACATACAGACACAGATACACACAAATACAAACACACACAAAGATCCCCCGTGTAGCCTTAACAGACTGTAGGGGCAAGTGCTGTTAGCGAGCATCACCTATGAAGGCCGGTAACGGTACACGAGGGGGTGGGTGGCCAACACCACGCCCGACCGCCTTTGTCTCCCCAGTGGCGATGCTTACACACCACACCAGGTAACTCGTTTGAGGCTGAGTCGACCTAGGGGAGGCCCAGGACCGGTTCAGATAATCGTCACTGGCGGTGTTGCCCGTGAGCTGGAATCGAACCTGGGCCGCCGGGTTCTTAGCGCGGCGTAGCGCTAACCACTGCACCACCGTTCCCCACCACCACCACCAACCCACAGGGACACATAGAGATACATAGAGATCCAGAGACACACAGAGACACATAGAGACACATAGAGATATATAGAGATATATAGAGACCCATAGAGACACACACAGAGACACAGAGATTCATAGAGACACAGAGATTCATATAGACCCATTGAGACCCATTGAGATCCATAGAGACACACAGAGACACAGAGATTCACAGAGACCTATCGAGATCCACAGAGACCCATCGAGATCCA